GTCCTATAACCGGTTACATAACCGGTTCCGGTCTTAACCGGTCTCGGTCCTAAAAAACGTTAAAATCCATAACCGGTTCATAACCGACGGTCCACAACCTGTCCATACCGGTCCCGGTTCCGATCCTCCGACGGTTACGGGCCGGGCCGGGCCCATTTGGCCATCTCTATTCCATATTTCCATAGTAACAACTGGGCTTTGAATTGTAGCAGTTTTAAAATTTCCTTTTGTTCGCATAAACAAAGGTCGGCCCATATTCAACATCTGGTGGTGGCCCCAGAATTGATAGCTATATTGGAAGACATTTGGATCCTTTGGTTAATATCCGTGGGACAAATGGCAATACCCTAGAATCAGAATCTTGGTTGATATGGTCAACCTCAACCTGGGTAGTTTCTTTAAAAGAGGAACCTGAACCTGTATGGCAGGTCTGCATGGACAGGACAGGTCCCTATCTTCTTTTTGTGAGTCTAAACCAGCATAAGGCTCCATACGAGCCACCAACTTTTCAGGCTTTCAGAAATAGTAACAGCATGGTTCTTGCAAACAGAAGCAACAAGACCCTCACTAACGGCGTTTGTGTTTTATGAGTTATGATTTGAAAATCCGAAAAAGGTGATACGGTCGATTACACTTATACAAAAGGAGGAAATGCAGATGCCAAGAGCCCACAAATAATGTTACGCCATTACCATTTTCAGAATTCTAGTACCTTATATACCACCTTCCCCTTCCTCCTCATTTCCTCCCCACCATTTTCAGAATTTCCTCTAGTTCTGAGATAGCACCATTTTTAGAATTTCTTCAATGGCCTTACGATAACTTCCATGAAAGAATAAACGCCATCAAAGAGACAGTGGATGATATGGAGCAACAGATGGTCGAGCAAAAGAATGCTATCAAGATTAAGGATGAGACTATGGCGGAGCTTGCTCTTCAAATCCCTCCATTTCAAGAGAAGCTTCAAGAGTTGGAGGAGATGGTGAAAGACAAAACTCGACTTGTTGTTAGATGCACAGGTTGAAGAGTTTAAAGGAAGCAAGAAGAATTTGACTGATGGAAATTCTAGTAAGTGATTTTTCTTACAAAGTTTGATTTGCAAACACACACACACAACAAAGAGATACAAAAACACACATTACCTTTTGGAAAACCCCCCGATCCTTTGGCTTGTAACAGAAAAACGCACATCTCTTGTGTCTTCAATCCTTTGGGAGAATTTATTCCACCATCTCTTAAAAACACACAATAAAACCCTATATTAACCCTCTACTTTTCTGACAAGAGCCGACAAATAACCGTAATCAAACACACGCCACTACAATTCCAGTACCTCTACCTCACACACCCTTATATAGCACCTTCCCCTTCCCCTTCTCATTCTCATTCCCATTCTCATTCCTCCTGATTTCCTCCCATTGTGAGATAGCAGAAATGGCCTTGTCCATCTTCCGTGAAAAAATAAATTTCATCAAAGCACTACTGGATGAAATGGAGAGGCAAATGGTGGAGAAGGAGAATACCATTAGGACTAAGGAGCAGACCATGGCAGAACTTGCTCTTCTAATCCCTCCACTCCAGGAGAATCTGCAAGAGGCGGTCGATAAGCTGAATGAAACCAAAAGGATGTTGCAAGCCAGACAGATGGAGATTGAAGAGCTCAAGAAGAAATTGACTGATAGTGATTTTTCTAAAAATCTTGATTGTGTTTATGGTTTTTATTCTAAGAGGGTTTCTTGTTATTTATATTGTAGGTAACTAGTGAAGCAATTTTTAGAATTTCTGTCAAAGTTTTTCCATTCCAGCAGTATGTTTGGGTTTCTTACGATTATTAAAGTTTTGATTTGAGTATACTTTTCTGCCTTTTTCACTTCCCTCACAAAACAAAACTGCAATCATCTTGGGTAATGAAAAGCCGTCATAATCATGACATTGGTAAAACAAATATCAATTTTAAAATAAAAATATAATTACATGAAAAAAAATATATATATATATATATATATATATATATATATATATATAGGGGTCTATTAAAGAGAGAACTGAGTTGTTTATGGTAACTGTGAAAACCAATATTAACCACAAATCAATAGATAAATTAGAAAATTTATAAATTTGGTAAGTTTAAATTAAAATCTTAATGTAAGGATATTTTTGGAATTTTAAAACTCTCATCTCTCATCTCTTCTCTCTCCGGCTACCGTCCTCCGGTGATACCACTATGATACCACTGTGATACCTAAAAATATTGACTCCGTTAAACAAAAGATACATTATGATACATAATCATATATAAGATGCATAGTGATACCACTGTGTTACATCTTCGATCGACCACACAAACGACATCAATGTGATACCCAAGCACATATATGATGGATTGTGATACCATTGTAGGATCACCGGAGGACGGTGGCCGGAGAGAGAAGAGAGGAG